TAAATTAGCCAGATGTAGTGGTGTTCCTGTAGTCCCAGCTACTCAGGAGGCTGAGGTGGGAGGATCACCTGGGTCTGGGGAGGTCGAGGTTGAGTGAGACGTGATGACATCAGTGTACTCCAGCCTGGGTGACAGAGTGAGACCCTGTATCAAAATAAATGAATGAATAAATAAATAATACTGATTTATAAGAACTCTTCATCAGATAGAGATACTAACCTTTTTACTGCTCTTTGTGGTACATATTTTCTCCTCAAAATATATTTTGTTGCTGCTTTTATTTTTTTAAAATCAAAGGTTCAATGAAGGTTCACCCATTGCTTTTGGTGTTTAGATCTCTACTTTCTTTTTAATAAAGAAGGGCCCCTTAATTTTTTTCCCCAGATAATAGTGACTTTTTAAAGAGACTGTTACTGTCTGGGTGCAGTGGCTCACGCCTGTAATCCCAGCACTTGGGAGTCCAAAGCTGGCCGGATCACCTGAGGTCAGGAGTTTGAGACCAGCCTGGCCAACATGGTGAAACCTTGTCTCTACTAAAAATACAAAAAATTAGCCAGGCGTGGTGGGGACACCTGTGGTTCCAGCTACTTGGTAGGTTGAGGCAGGAGAACCACTTTGAACCCATGAGGTGGAGGTTGCAGTGAGCTGAGATTGCACCACTGCACTGCAGCCTGGACAACAGAGTGAGACTCTGTCTCAAAAAAAAAAAAAAAAAAAAAAGATCTGTATCATATTAAAGTTTCCTTCTATTTCTAGTTTACCCATAAGCTTAATCCAGAATGGATTTAGAATTTTATCAACTGCATTTTCTGCATTTATCAAAATGACCATCTGGTTTTTAATCTATTAATCTAGTGAATTACATTGACATATTTTTTTCTAACTACCTATCCTTGAATTGCTAAAATAAATCCTAAAGGTGTTGCATTGTACTTTTAATGTGTTGTTGGTTCTATTTGTAAATATTATATTTAGGGTGTTTGCATATATATGTATTAATAAATGAATTTGACTTTTGGTTCTTTTTTCGCTTTCTCAGTTTTTGCTATCAGGGTTGCAATAGCCTTGTGAAATGAGTTCTTGAAAGCATTATATGACTTTTTAAATAAACCCAACATCTGGAAGTTTTGAGGAGAGTAGATTTCACTGATCATTTCAATTTCTTTTCAGTAGTGGTAACTTAGAAAATAGTTTTTTTGACTTTATGACTTTATGACTTATGACATTATTGTCATAAGGGTATAAATAGTATTATTTTAATAAAAGTAGTCTCTTCCCTATCTGTAGTTAGACATATATTTTCATTGCTAATGTAGTGTATGTGTTCTCAAACTTTTTTCCGTGTTGTCAGATTTGTCAGACATCCCTTAATCCTTTTTTTCCCCCAAAGAGCTAGCTCTAGGTTTTACTCAACAATTCTAGTTGTTTTAAACTTCCTAATTCATTGGTTTCTTTTGTTTATTTTGTTGTTCTTTTTCTAGCTTCTGAGTCTAATGTGCCAAAAATATTTATTTTAGACATTTCTTGTTTTAGAAAAAAACCTATTTAGGGATATGATTATTTTTTTCCTGAGTAAACTTTGGCTACTTCCCATGGAATTTTCTATTTGGTGTTTCGACATATGTTAATTTTCAAATAATGTATAAATTAAGTTTTTATTTATTCTTTGACACAGACTTATTTAGAACAATGACGTTTTGAATTTATTCCATTTTAATCAGTAAATGAACCCTATAAGAACTCTACCTTCAGAAACTTACGGAGACATTTTTCTGTGGCCTAGTAAGTGATTTCTCTTTATGTATGTATTTTTTTTTTTTTTGAGATGGAGTCTCTCTCTGTCGCCCAGGCTGTAGTGCAGTGGCGTGATCTCAGCTCACTGCAAGCTCTGCCTCCCGGGTTCACGCCATTCTCCTGCCTCAGCCTGCCCAGCTAATTTTTTTGTATTTTTAGTAGAGATGGGGTTTCGCCATGTTAGCCAGGATGGTCTCGATCTCCTGACCTCGTGATCTTCCCGCCTTGGCTTCCCAAACTGCTGGGATTACGGGCGTGAGCCACCATGTCCGGCCTCTCCTTATGTATTTTAAATTTTAAATGAATGTTTCATAAACATTTAGAAAGAATGTGTCTCATTTTTAGAGAGATCATAATTTGCTATGAGTTCAAGCTTATAATATGTATTATTAACATCTTTCATATATTTATTTTTGTCATCTTGACACAACAAATTTTGGGAATAGTTTTCTAACTTTTTCCACTCTACCTATGGGTTTGACAATTTTTTTAAAAAATTTCTTTTTCCTTTTAAAAAAGACAGGATCTCACTGTGTTGCCCAGGCTGGTCTTGAACTGCTGGGCTGCAGCGATCCTCCTGCCTTGGCCTCCCAAAGTGCTGGTATTACAGGTGTGAGCCACCACACCTGGCCAATTTTTAAAAAAATTTCTAACACTTCTTTTTACTTTTTGGAGAGAATATAGTAAAAAAATTAAGAGCATTGATGCTAACACCAGGCTGCCTGGTTTGAATACCAGCTTCACTCTCATGAGTTGACAGACCTTGGACATATTTCCTCAACTGTAAAATCACATCATCTACTTTACTGGGTTCTTGGGAGGATTGTGAGTTGCTATATGCAATGACCTTGGAATTGTGCTTGACGTGTTATAATTACTCTCTATGTATCTGCTGCCATGATATTCAGAGTGAAAATGTTCATGGTTGCTATATATTCTGATGAATCTACTGTTTCTTAATATAAAACAATTTTCTTTGTTCCATATAGAGCTTTTTGCCTTGAATTCTATTTGAGGTGATATTAATATTGCTATATTGTTTTCTTTTTGTCTATATTTGCCTGCTGTCTTAGTCCCTTCAGGCTGCTACAACAAAATGCCATAAACTAGGTGGCTTATAAACAGCAGAAATTTATTTCTCACATATCTGAAGTCTGGGAATTCCAAGATCAAGGTGCTGGCAGATTCAGTGTCTGTAATGGTCTGCTTCTTGGTTCATAGACAATGCTTTCTCACTGCGTCCTCACATGGTAGAGGTGGAAAGGGGTCTGCCTTGGCTTGCTTTTATAAGAGCCCTAACCCCATGCATGAGGGTTTCACTCTCATGCTCTAATCAGCTCTGAAAGGCCCTCACCTCCTAATACCATCACCTTGGGGGGTTATGATTTTAACATATGAATTTTGGGGGGACACAAACATTCAGACCATAGCACTTGGTCTCTCTTTGGGCATGTGCATGTTTTCAACCTTTCAGCATTATTTTGTGTTACACTCATCTCTTGTAAATAGCATATAGCTGGAGCTTGCCTTAAAAAAAGTTCTTTTAATAAGGGAATGTAACCTGTTTACAGTTGTTGAGATTATTGATATTCCTGTCATCTTTGTGTTTTCTGTTGGATATGTTTCTAGATCTTTTGTCAAGGTTGAATCGTTGCCCCATGATATTCTTGCACTAGTAGCTCAGCTTAGATCTTTCTAGCTGGTGCGGACAGAAAGAAGTCTGCTTCTCCTGCTTCAAAGTAAGAAAAACCAGAAGCTAGCCGGGGGCATGGTGTCTGTGGTCACACTGTTTTTGGGGATCCTGGTACTGAATTTTCTATTAGCTATCATTCAGTGAGTCCCTAGTATAAGCCAGGTGCTTTTTTAGACTGAAAAAAAAATATTGCTTCATTTAACCCTCACAACAACCTGATGAGGGGGGTATTAATATTAAACTTATAAATAGGGAGGTGAATTAAAGAAATGAGAGTGTGTTCCTGAGGGACTGAAGAAGACAAAATTTGTTTTTTTCAGATGGAATCTCACTCTGTCACCAAGATTGGAGTGCAGTGGCATGATCCCGGCTCACTGCAATCTCTGCCTCCTGGATTCTAGCGATTCTCCTGCCTCAGCCTCCCAAGTAGCTGGGATCACAGGCACCCACCACCATGCCTGGCCAATTTTTGTATTTTTAATAGAGACTGGGTTTCACCATGTTGGCCAGGCTGCTCTTAAACTCCTGACCTCAAGTGATCCATCCGCCTCTGCTTGCCAAAGTGCTAGGATTACAGGCGTGAGCCATTGTGCCCAGCTGAAAGACATAATTTGTAATGTATAAACTCGTTCCCTTCACCTCCACGTATGCATGGAACATGAAGTTGGCTAAGAAGTGGGCTTCTGAGTTGACTTTTACTGAGTTTCTAAATGAATTGGTTGCCAATGCTGTTGGGAACGTTGGGCCTTCTTATTCTGGTTCAACCATTTTTTTTTTTCATGGTAGTGTAAGTTTCCACGCTAAGTTGATTGTTCTGGAGTAGATAATCCAGAGTTTAGTCATTTTCTTTACTGCTAGAGTAAAAAAAAAAGTTTTAACTCAGTGGTGTGTCCCATTAACTCAATGGTGTATATTTAATCCTGTTGGTCTTTTTTGGATACTGGGTCTGGAGTTAGGGGGATCTGTGCCTGCTGGTCTCACAGAATCTGAAGAAGGGCAGGCTCATGCTTTATCCATCTTTGTATCTCTAGTGCCTTGAAGAATTATGTGGTCCATAGTAGGTGTTATCTCTTAAAATGACCTGAGCTCGGGGAGGGGATTTGTCTTATATTCATATTTGAATTATAAGGTTTTAGAAAGAAGTCCATAGAATATAAATGCATTATCTGAACATTATACTTTCTGTAACCCCTATAGTACTATGCAATAGAAATTAAGTGTGTTGCATGGACGCTGGGAACGGAACATCACACACTGGGGCCTGTTGGGGAGTGGGGTTGTTAGCGGAGGGATAGCATTAGGAGAAATACCTAATGTAGATGACGGGGTGACGGGTGCAGCAAACCACCATGGCACATGTATACCTGTGTAATGAACCTGCACGTTCTACACATGTATCCAAGAACTCAAAGTATAGTAAAAAAAAAAAAAAAAAAAAAAAAGGTGGTTGTAATCCACCCAGGGCAAGTGTTTATCAGTCTTAGCTTCAATGATCTCCAATAAAATTTTCACTATTAAAAAGAAATTAAGTGTGTTCCAAGTCCCGATTACACAGAGATGTTAATCACGTTTCACGCATCTCCAGTTATCATGTTCTATCTGCCCTGCAAAGGAGGAACAGGTAAGGATTATCCCAGCACTTTGGGAGGTTGAGGTGGGCAGATCACGAGGTCAAGAGATCACGACCATCCTGGCCAACATGGCGAAATCCCATCTCTACTAAACATACAAAAATTAGCTGGGTGTGGTGGCATGTGCCTGTAATCCCAGATACTTGGGAGGCTGAGGCAGGAGAATCACTTGAACCCAGGAGACGGAGGTTGCAGTGAGCTGAGATCACACCACTGCACTCCAGCCTAGTGACAGAGCAAGACTCCGTCATAAAATAAAACAAAACAAAATAAAATAAAAAGTGTGTTTGTTACTTTTTCAAGAGCTTATTTTGGACTAAAGCAGCATGTGGTTTCAGTAGGAGAAGGTCTGTGTCACCATGGGAGGGTGGGATGACATTGACGTATGAATGACCGTTTGCACTGGTAATTCCAGTGAGGGCATCCAGCCAATAATAGTGCTCCTGAGCCAGCTGCTGGGGAGACATGTAGCCCTGATCTCACCGGGACTCCATATTTGAAAAGAAAAAAAAAAGCCAAGTGAAAACTCCCAGCTTTAATGAGATCCCTAGGTGAATCCGAGTTTTATATGGTCTGTTTGACTTCCACGGATATCTGGCTAGACTTTGATTGATTGTCAGGCTTTTTAAGTAGCATTGATTTTTACTTCTGCAACATTGGGATGATGAGGTCATTGCATTTTGCTGTGTTATTGAAGTTCTTGCTAAAGCAACCTGGAGGTTATGAGCATGTCTAGGCACTGGCTTCCCACTTGTGCTAAGTTGGAGAGGTGGGAAAGTTCAGGTAAGTAAAATGATAAAGGCAAAAAAGAATTCTCTCTGATTGTGAGAGGGAATTTCAGAGTTTTAAGAATCATCGTGATAATTGGTAGCTTTTAATCGTAGCTTGTTTCTTTTTATTAGCAATCATTTGTTGAGCATGTAACTACACAGGGCAAGGACTATGTCATAAGCCCTTTGTGTACACATTAACTCTCTTTTTCCTCACCACACTTCTGTGAAGTAGGTGTTATTATTCCCCACTTTACAGATGAGAAATTGAGTCTAACAGAGGTAGGCTAGCTTGCTAGAGTCAGTGGAAGAGCCAGGTTTTAGATCAAACTGTGCCTGACTCCAAAGTCTGTGATCATAACTGCTAGTTTACTATATGATGGTTGTGTGAACAGTTAGAGGTTTCCTTTAGGTAAGATCAGAAAGGAAAACTTGAGGCTGCTGCATTAGTGACAATCCCCCTCTCTCCTGTACGGACCTGAGTCCTGGGGAAAACTGCAACTAACACAGTGCCCTAGGACATACCATTTAGACTTGCCCCACTTGTAGAAAGAGATCACCTGAACCTCCTTTCTGCTTGAGTGAGGTCGTGCCCATGAAGGGGCCAGAGGGGGCTTTGAACATTTTGAGATTCCTCCAGCTACCACCTATTGATTAGAGGCTGCCAGGAGCTTTAATCCGATTAGAGTCTGTAAAACTGGTTTCCATCTCTGGCGCCTGACTCAGGTTTCAGAGCAAGGGGAAAAAGTATGACATCACCCCTGCTTGCATCTGTGCTGGGTGGCTAATGAAATTACGTGATGGGCTTGAGGACTATTAAAGTCAATGTTGATCCTTATTATTATTAAGAGTACTTTTAAATTTACTGCACCATGAGGCAGGTTCGAAAGCATCATTTTTCAGAGGTGTATTCATTGCTCTGGATTTCAGCGCACAACTCCATGGGATATGGAGAAGGCTAGCAGCACAAATAATCAATTCTGAAATCTGCAGGATTAAAGTGCATGTAGCTCCTTGCTGGAGGGAGGACAGGTTCTGGGATTTTTCCATAATAAGGCATCAGGATGACCTTGGATTAAAAAAACCTGAAGTGAAACAAAACATGTTTGTCAAGGAAAAGTGAAGCTCCACTGTTGCCATTAGCATCAGCAATAGTATATATTTTTAAAAGTTTAAATGGTTAGTATAAAAAAAGAAAGCTCAGTTCAGATTACCAACCATTTACTGAGTATAGAGACTGAACTGATACCAGTAATACACTACAGCAAGGGGAATAAAACTGTGTGTTTTGTTAATCAACATATCTCTAAGGCCTAGCTAAATGTCAGGCATGCAGAAATTATTCTCTCTCTCTTTAAATATACATATAAGTACACACATATATGGATTAAAGTGCATTGATTTTAACTGTACAATTCAATTAATTTACACACACTCACAGCACAAACACGTGCACACTGTTGAATCATCACTCAAATCAGGTTGTAGACAATTTCCCTTATCTCAGAAGGCTCTCTCTTGCCATTTTACATTTCCACAGCAGAGATAATCACTAGTTTGACTTCTACAGCGATAGACTACTTTTGTCGATAACTAATACACTTCATATAAATTAATATAAGTTGAATCTTCTTGTAAATGGAATCACATGATATTATATCTCTTGTGTCTGGCTTCTTTTGCTTATCTTTTTATTATTATTCTACTTTAAGTCATTGATTCTGTTTATGTGATGGATTACGTTTATTGATTTGTGTATGTTGAACCAGCCTTGCAACCCATGATGAAGCCCACTTAATCTTGGTGGATAAGCTTTTTGATGTGCTGTTGGATTCAGTTTGCCAGTATTTTATTGAAGATTTTTGCATCGATGTTCATCGGGATATTGGCCTGAAATATTCTTTTTTTTTTGTGTCTCTGGCAGGTTTTGGTATCGGGATGATGCTGGCCTCATAAAATGTCTTATGGAGGAGTCCCTCTTTCTCTATTGTTTGGAGTAGTTTCAGAAGGAATGGTACCAGCTCTTCTTTGTACCTGTGGTAGAATTTGGATGTGAATCTGTCTGGTCCTGGGCTTTTATTGGTTGGTAGGCTATTACTGCCTCAATTTCAGAACTTGTTATTGGCCTATTCAGGGATTCAACTTCTTCCTGGTTTAGTCTTGGGAGGGTGTATGTGTCCAGGAATTTATCCATTTCTTCTAGATTTTCTAGTTTATTTGCATAGAGGTGTTTATAGTATTATCCAATGGTAGTTTGTATTTCTGTGGGATCAGTGGTGATATCCCCTTTATTATTTTTTATTGTGTCTATTTGATTCTTCTCTCTTTTCTTCTTTATTAGTCTGGCTAGCAGTCTATTTTGTTAATCTTTTAAAAAAACTGGCTCCTGGATTCATTGATTTTTTGAAGGGTTTTTTGTGTCTCTCTTTCAGTTCTGCTCTGATCTTAGTTATTTCTGGTCTTCTGGTGGCTTTTGAATGTGTTTGCTCTTACTTCTCTGGTTCTTTTAATTATGATGTTAGGGTGTTAATTTTAGATCTTTCCCTCTTTCTCCTGTGGGCATTTAGTGCTACAAATTTCCCCTAAACATTGCTTTAGCTGTGTCCCAGAGAGTCTGGTACATTGTGTGTTTCTTCTCATTGGTTTCAAAGAACTAATTATTTCTGCCTTAATTTTTTTATTTACCCAGTAGTCATTCAGGAGCAGGTTGTTCAGTTTCCATGTAGTTGTGCCGTTTTGAGTGAGTTTCTTAATCCTGAGTTCTAATTTGATTGCTCTGTGGTCTGAGAGACTGTTTTTTATGATTTCTGTTCTTTTGCATTTGCTGAGGAGTGTTTTACTTCCAATTACGTGGTCAATTTTAGAATAAGTGCGATGTGGTCCTAAGAAGAATGTATATTCTGTTGATTTGGGGTGGAGAGTTCTGTAGATGTCTATTAGGTCTGCTTGGTCCAGAGCTGAGTTCAAGTCCTGGATATCCTTGTTAATTTTCTGTCTCGTTGATCTGTCTAATATTGAGAGTGGGGTGTTAAAGTCTCCCACTATTATTGTGTTGGAGTCTAAGTCTCTTTGTAGGTCTCTAAGAACTTGCTTTATGAATCTGGGTGCTCCTGTATTGGGTGCATATATATTTAGGGTAGTTAGCTCATCTTGATGCATTGATCCCTTTACCATTATGTAATACCCTTCTGTGTCCTTTTTGATCTTTGTTGGTTTAAGGTCTGTTTTATCAGAGACTAGGATTGCTACTCCTGCTTTTTTTTTTTTTTTTGCTTTTCGTTTGCTTGGTAACTATTCCTCCATCCCTTTATTTTGAGCCTATGTGTGTCTTTGCATGTGAGATGGGTCTTCTGAATACAGCACACTGATGGGTCTTGACTCTTCAGCCAATTTGCCTGTCTGTGTCTTTTAACTGGAGCATTTGGCTCGTTTACGTTTAAAGTTAATGTTGTTCTGTGAGAATTCGATCCTGTCACTATTATGCTAGCTGGTTATTTTGCCCATTAGTTGATGCAGTTTCTTCATAGTGTCGGTGGTATTCTTTACAATTTAGTATGTTTTTGCAGTGACTGGTACTGGTTTTTCCTTTCCATATTTAGTGCTTCCTTCAGGAGCTCTTGTAAGACAGGCCTGGTGGTGACAAAATCCCTCAACATTCACTTGTCTGTAAAGGATTTTATTTCTCCTTCATGTATGAAGCTTAGTTTGGCTGGATATGAAATTCTGGGTTGAAAATTCTGTTCTTTAAGAATATTGAATATTGGCCCCCACTCTCTTCTGGCTTGTGGGGTTTCTGCAGAGAGATCTGCTGTTAGTCTGATGGGCTTCCCTTTGTGGGTAACCCGACCTTTCTCTCTGGCTTTCCTTAACATTTTTTCCTTCATTTCAGCCTTAGTGAATCTGACGATTATGTGCCTTGGGGTTGCTCTTCTTGAGGAGTATCTTAGTGGTGTTCTCTGTATTTCCTGAATTTGAATGCTGGCCTGTCTTGCTAGTTTGGGGAAGTTCTCCTGGATAATATCCTGAAGAGTGTTTTCCAACTTGGTTCCATTCTCCCCATCACTTTCAGGTTCACCAATCAAACTTAGGTTTCATCTCTTCACATAGTCCCATATTTCTTGGAGATTTCGTTCATTCCTTTTCATCCTTTTTTCTTTAACCTTGTCTTCATGTTTTATTTCATTAAGTTGATCTTCAGTCTCTGATATCCTTTCTTCCACTTGATCGATTCAGCTATTGATACTT